ATATATATATATATATATATATATATATATATATATAAAATGGTTATTTTCTTGATAATTTTTTTAAATAAATTTAATGTGATTAATTTATGACAAAGATTATATGTTAGATAAAAGATTTTCTTAGTAATATCTTATATAACGAAAGCGCGGTATAAAATAGAAAAACCGGAAGTAGTGTGTGTCTGCCGATCGAAAATTTCCTCTTCCTTTCTTCCGCCCCCCCCCTCGCCGTCATCCGTTTCCTCCCCCACATTTTCTATTTGCTTAGAGAATTTGAACGATTTTAATCGAGAATATTCGATCAACAAATAAAACGTTTAATAATTTCAATACATACATACATATATATATATATGTATAATACATAAAATATACATATATATGTTTAATTTAGAAAGTTAAGAAAAAGCATCGGTGCTACTTTAAGGTTATGATCAACGGATGGATGAAAAAAATTACGAATACATAAGAAACGTATTTTTATCTTTTTTTTTTGTTTTTTTTTTTTTTCATTTTTCGTGCACATCATGTAATTGAAATATATCCGTATGTTTCTGGAAAGTTCGATGGGTAGAGAAAAATCGATGATGAATTTCGGAATATAGCTTGTAAACTCACCCTCTCTTTATTATCTATCTCCATCTTTTTTTTTTTCTTTCTCATCCCAACGAGCAAACAGGAAGGAACGAATAAGTAACACAGAAAAGGACTACTCGTATTCGTCGTTTTTCGTATAAGAAAGAAAGAGAGAGAGAGAGAGAGACGAAGAATATATAAATCAAACGAGATGTTAAAATCAAACGAATAACTCGATATATATAAATATATACATATATATTGATATTAAATTATTAAATGATAATTTTAATAAATTCAATGCGATAACAATTATGTAAGAGGCCGGCACGCCGGGTAAAAAGCCACATGGCTATGCGTCCACGGATCGTGGATAGACGCCATTACGGGAACCGTATCGGCCGCCTTTGCTAGCAACGTGCTCAACAGTCTTACTTATTCGTATAACATTCGATTTTTGTAATATATATGATTAAAATATGAATATAAAGAAGATAATTACTTACCAATAACTAATTTTAGTTGAACAGCCTTAGGTTGTTCGGGCTGTTTCTCTGAGTCAGCCATGATGTTAGCGTAAGGTGTTAAAACACGCGCTGACAAACTCCGCTCCTTGGGAGATAAATTCAATGTATAATACTGTTACGTTGCTGGTCTGAACATAACTGTGCTGCCAAGCAACCTAATAAACGGCGTCGCTATTCTAAAACTCCCTCCTAACAATCTTTCCTATTGGCTAGTCGTTCTAGTATATCCCGAAGTTGACCAATCAAAATGTTAGTTTTACAGAGCATACGATGTGCGCCGATAAAGCGCCGCCTACTCGCATGCACAATGAAACGTTGAACTGCACCACGCTATGCACGCGGCGGCCTGCTGTATCTAACGTATTTATCCTTTAATTATTCTACTTTGGATTGTCTTCAGAGAAAAAAAAAAAAACATCATAAGTATTGTTTATTACAATTAATATTTCATTTTTTTGGGGTTTTTTTTTTTCATTATATTTTCAATATTATTTAGTAATTTTTTTTTAATCATACCGCAATAACATAGAAATAATGGGGGGGGGGATCTATTTCTCGAACGATCGATATTGATTTCATTTCCTTTTCTTTTTCTTTTTTTTTATTATTATTATGATATAATCTATTAAATAATATTAATAATATTGTTTAATTTAATAAAATGATAAAACATTATAAACAACACATATATATATGTATATGTATATATGTATATTGATGATGAAATGCATTCATTTGATTCGCACATTCACACATTCATTCAATGAAGTGTGTGTATGTAATGTATGTGTATATAAAATGTTATACTATAGAATAATTGAATATAATTATATTTCATTTGTTTATATATTTTATAATTTTATTGAATATCATTTAATAGCACATATCTCAATTACTTGTCTTATTTTAAATGTTTTTTTTGTTTTCTTTTCTATTTCCTTTTTCTACAATATCCTGTAAATTATGTTATGCACATACACCTGTTATGATTGTGTATGTGTGTGTTGTTGTTGTAATTAAATTCTACTTTTTGTATTTTTTTATTGTTGTTTTTTTTTTTTTAATTCTTTCAAGATACATGGGGGATATTTTTTCAAGGTCATTTATATATTATCACGGCAAGAACATTAATTTTCTTTTTCTAATATATCAAATTAATTACACAATTTATATACAAGTATAATATGCGTTATTGTTAAAAATGACACACAAGTGTCGTTTCAAGCATATCATAATAATATTTAGATTAATATATGATTTTAAGTGAATTTATAGAAAAGCTTGTTGTGTGTGTATGTGTGTGTGTTTTTTTTTAATTATTATTATTATTTATATCCCCTTTTTTCCCCCCCTTTTTCTTCTTCTTCTTCTTCTTTGGTTCTACTATAAAAGCAGACCACCATCTTTATTGTAATAGATCTTATTATTACCTTTTTGTAATAATAATAACGCATTAAAAATGATAATAATTTAAAACATTGTATTAATATACATTCATTATTCGTATTGTTTAAGAACAATTGTGAATACTCTGTTATGTTTTAATAACAAGTATAATAAATTCATTTAAATGTTATCACGTAAATTAAATCGTAATTCGTGTTAACAATCATTAAAACTTGTATAATTAAAAGAACTGTAGGAAAGTATTTATTTTATGTATCATGAAATAAAAAAATAAAAATAAAACACAATTCAGAAATTCATAATTGGTAATATATCTCTTTGTAAACAAAAACAAAAACAAAAACAAAAAATAAAAGGAAAAATGTACTTAGTAATATTTGACGATTATATTTTAAGTATCTTTTTGTCATATGAACTATACGTATATATATATATATAATATATATGTATATTTATATTATATATAAATAAATTCAGCACACACTAATGGTCTTATACGTAAAAAACAAAAAAAGAGAAAGATGATTTATCTTGATAATTCATGCAAATGATGTTTCTTTTGTTCTCTTGAATATTCTATCCTAAATATCTTTCCCTTCTGTATTTTGTTCTTCTCTTAATTTCTAACAATATTTCATCATATTATTATTAATATATTTCTATATATACTCCGTATATGTACAAATGACAAAATACAATTGAAAATGGTTAATAAACATTTAGAAATGATAATCACAATATTACTTATTATATAATATACTTATTATTTCCACATAAGCATTGGACTCTGTCCTTTTTTCTGTTTTTTTTTTTTATTTGAAAAAAAATAATGAATAATAATAATAATAAAATAATAATAATAATAATAATAATAATAATAATAATAATATGTATATGTATATGTATATGCGTCCAACTCAAACAGTCATTTTAATGTTGAAATGAATTAAATGTCGTCGATGTATCTTGATAAAAAAAATTTACTTAAAGATGTTAAATATATGATTTTTACATTCTGCATCATCTTGGTTTTCTGCCTCTGGCAGGTCTTGATCGGGGTGCAGTTGAACCACTACCAATGCTAAACATTCCAGGAGTTGGAGCATTAAATGTGGGTGTACCAGAAGTTCCAAAGTTAAGCGATGGCGTAGTTGATGGTGCAGTAAAATTAAATCCTGTAACTATACATTCATTTGTATTTTTGTTGTTATTGTTGTTGTTCTTTTGTTATTGTATTATTAATGAGATTTAAGAGATAATGTTAACGGTTACCTGGTTTAGAAGTGCTCGCACCAAATTGGAATGGTACAGCTCCAGTTGTTGATGTATTGTTATTAGATGCGTTATTATTACCAAATGTAAAGGTATTAGTTGGTTGTTGTTGTTGCTGTTGTTGTTGTTGTTGTCCTGCCTGATTTCCACCAAATGTAAAGATATTACTTGTATTGTTTTCATTTGTTGGAAAAGCGGGTGTCACTGTTGTTTGAATACCAAATGGCGATGGTTTATTGTCACCAAAGGCATTAGAATTACTGGCAGCACCAAACTGCAGAGGAGTTGATTGTTGAGTTTCAAAGGTACTTTGCATCGGAGTGTTGAAGGTTCCAACTGGAGTAGTAGTAGTAGATCCAAAGGGAGCTGCTGGATTATTTTGATTTCCAAATATTGGATTTGGTGTAGTAAGACAAGCAAAACTATTAGTTGTTGATGTTTGCGTACTCCCTGGTGCACTTAAGTTTGGTGCACCAAATACAGGAGTAGTTGTATTTGTATTACCAAAATTGAGAGTACTGGTTGAAACGCTAGGAGAACCAAACGTTGGTGGTGCTGTAGTCTGTGATCCAAACAATGGTGTACTGGTACTTCCAAAGACTGTTGTAGTAGATCCAAAAGCAGGAGGTTTATTTTCTTCTTTGAAGTTATTGTTGCCTGTACCAAATTCAATGGTTGGTTTTGTTGATTGGATTGGTGTAAAAGGAGATTTTGTTGTATTACCAAAAATAGGAGCAGCGATTGATTGACCAAATACTGGCTCGCTGGTTGTTGTTCTAAACATCGTTGTTGTTGCTGGTGTATTGAACATCGATCCACTTGTTGTTGTTGCTGGTGTATTGAACATCGATCCACTTGTTGTTGCTGGTGTATTAAACATTGATACAGTTGTCGTTGCTGGTGAATTAAACATAGATGTAGCTGTAGTTGATGGTGTACTAAACATAGATACAGTTGTAGTTGATGGTGCATTAAATATAGATGCAGTTGTAGTTGATGGTGTATTAAACATTGACGCTGTAGTTGTTGCTGGTGTATTAAACATCGATGCAGTTGTCGTTGCTGGTGTATTAAACATAGATGCAGTTGTCGTTG